AATATTTGATAAATAGATAATTTTTCGCCTGGTTATATTTAAGGAACTAATAAAATAATTGAATTTAACTTATTGTTTATGGATTTCTTTGGCATGAAATGATTAAATTTGGATCTGAAATATGTCACATGACCAACAAACAGTGTGTCATAATCTCTTCATCAATGTGCATGCTATCCAGTCAGTAGTGAATGTGTATCTACAAAAGATTTCTGGAAATTATATATTCACTTAATTAATGAGGTCATATAACCAGCTAGTATGTTATCCAAATCTATTTACCCATGTGCACAATGTCTAATTAGTAGTAAATGTGTATGTGCATGAATAATAAGGTCACATGGCCAACTAATAATTTATTCAAATTCTCACATTCATATTCACAATATTCTGTTAGTAGTAAATTTGCAATATATCACTTTGGAATTAGATATGTGCATAATTAACGAGATCATGTCATCAACAACATAAATGACAATATATTATGTTCAAGCAGAGGTATATTACTTGGGGTTTGCAACTACGGTGACATGAAACCAAGATCCCGTTTCAATCTCGCTCTCGCATAAGCGTTCCAACTCAGAAAAATGCGAATGCGCATGCCCGAGATAACTAGGATACTGAGATGTCCAGGTGGATCAAAATAGCTGCTCACGGATGACGGATTACGATAACTATATTTTCTGTACATTTTCGATGTATTACATTTTTTCACTATGAATGTGGTAATACATGTTTTATTGTTTTATTACAAACCGCCTATGTCATGTCAGAAGGTCGTAGCATCAGTCTCGCTATATACGAGATCTTGGCATGATGTCACCATACAGTACTATGCGCGTTGCAAACCCCAAGTAATGTACCTCTGGTTCAAGTAAGTTTTACCATAGGTGGCGCTCCTTATAGGTTTGAGACGAGTTTCCATGAAGTAGTCCCATACGGGTAAAATTAAAGAATTGCACAGGAAAAGATGGATTGACTTGGGTATAAAATGTCTACTTTTTTGTAATAAATCCAAGTACGGGAGATACATCAGATCTTCCTATTAATGTGTTATATGTGCCATTGACGTAAAATGTGACAAATATCAGTTACATAATGTTGAATATGTTCATACCGTTAGTAATTAAATATAGATTCAGACGGGATAGTGGATGCCTGAAGATACGGGTTTTGTGGTGTGATTCATAAACTCAGTTTGCTAGTTCCAAACCAAAACCACTCTCTAGAAATTGAACTTCCGCTAAAAAGTGTGAACTTACTATATTGACTGACATATGGAAGTAATTGGAGGGCCATTCTTTGTTAACAATCGTGCGGATAAAACTTAACCAAGCCGAGGGGTTATTTGTGGACCCTTTATGTTATTATTTATCGCAACTCTATAATATTATTGGCATATACACTAACAATGTTATTAATTATGACATTGTCATGGATTTGTAGAATGTAGTCGACATATTCAGAAAGTGATGAAAATATTCTTATATATATATATTGACGCATTCAACAGATAATCAAATCATGATTTTCCCCATACACGTAAAACACACGAACAAGTTTATTTATTCTGCAATTTCTCAGAGGTCAACTCAGGGTCAACTACTCGACTTGTATTTTATGATGATAAAACGCAATTGTATCTACTACCTTTACCGTCTTATACATGGGTTATGTACCGTGAGAAACGAAGACAGACGTAACGAGTGATTGGACACAAACCCAACAAAACAAACAGTTAAATCGTATAGTTACTCGGCACACAAATGCATAAACATAATACCTTAACAATACGGTTATTATGTGTCTGATTACTATTAATAACAGAGGTGAATGACATGCTGGAACCAAATTATAACAGTTGAATGTCATTGGCATTTGCGCTGTAAATGTGTTTTTTTTCACATTGGAATCCTAGACATAAGTCTTACCGTTAACTTATCATTTCCGCTTTAAATTGAGGTTGAGATACTGTTCAGATCTATAACCCATTTCAGATCGACAGTCGCACTGAAATGTGTACACCGATTTGCAGACACATATTTATTAACCCACATATAACCCTTTTCATAAATAAATAAACGCTGCTCGGACTGATAAATATGATATATAGAAGATAATATTTGGTAATCGTAGTCCTAAATAACTATTAAAAATAGCTAGACGTTTCGAGCAATGGCTCTTTATCGATAGCATAGAAGA